CTGTGAGACCAAGGTGCGGTACCCGCGTCTGGGTAAATTTCAAAGACTTCCGCTTGATGAAGATTGTTATCCTGCCGAATGATCACCAAACATATCAAAACCAAAATGTCACACGAAATATAAGTGCACAATCTTACAGCTGAACTGATTTTTCCGTATAGAAATTATTGAAAAAAAACAACACAATTTTCAGTAAACAGCACACTTCCACGTCTCTCACGCGTTTACAGGCGGCTTCTCAACTCCAGTGACCAAGTGAGTCACTGTTTATTCTCAGAAAACTCGGGCTGTGTTCCCTTTCCTTAAGTTTTCGGTCTAAGTTCCCGCGGGCGCAATCCTCTGACGAGGACCCCAGCATTCTCGTTTCTAAGAATATGAGTTCAGCTTCGAAGTCCCAAGCCGTTTTGGCTGTGCTCCCCGGCCAGCTTATTGCCTGCTGTCGAATGGTATACTGCTTAGACTGGCAGCAGGTTTGATGCTACGTTTTTTTTCTGTTCCAATGAACTGCTCCCATCGCACCCCGCGTGTTTCTGCTTTACGCATCCGCTAGTGCGAAGTGACAGAAGCCACATAGCTGGTTGGTACAGCCAGTATCTTTCCCAGCGCTGTCAAGGATGAGCAGGGTCGAGGTCTCATTAGAGCTCTTTCTGTGTTTGCGGGGTGGGCGTGTGTATTGGCAGAAACATCGACAAGCAAAGGACGGTTTCGTGTGACAACGAAAAAAAAATATTTTTTTTTCGGGAGACAAGGCGCGGAGGGGTGGTGGAGGAAGAACGGTAGAGGGGGAAGGGGGGGGGGGGGGGGGGGGGAGAGAGGAATGGAGCGGACATATGCACCACGGTCACTGTGTCCATGGTCCTACTCGACACAAACCCCACGCGACGGCTTTATGGTTCATTCGTTTTCTACTCTTTTGTACGCTCGAAGCAGTCCGTTCGTTTTCCAAGAAGTGGAAGACTGTGTTGCCTTCATGTGGGCAGCCGAATCCTCCCAGCCTGGCTGACCGTACGAACGAGTCCAGAAACGGGCTCTGGCTGCACTGTCGTGCTCTCTGTGAATTCCTTCCCTTCCCTCACCAGCACCTCACCAGCGTTTTTGTTTTTTTTTTCTCTCTCTCTCTCTCTTACGAGCGTCTTGTGTTACCATGCTAAAAACGCGAAGGCCGTTGCATCGCTCTTCTTCCACTCTATTTCTCCCTTTGATGGGACGGAAGAATTGTAACGAGTAATTTCAGTAATTGGTTACTGCCAAAGTAATGAGATTACATTACAAATTACATTTTTTTTAAAGTAACAGATTAATTACTAAATTACAAGAAAAGTAATTAATTACAGGGAATCTCGTTACTTGTAACAGATTACTTCCAAGTCAGATTTTTCAGGTCTGTCATCCCTCTGACACTATCCGGGTGCAAAACCAAGGTGAATAACAAAATTCGAGATGATTTAAATCGTGATTTTAATAACACCAGCTTTAAAGCGATGATTTAAATCAAAACTTTCCCTCCCAAATAATTCCCAAAATATACTTTTTCTTTGAGTTTGTCTCTCATTTGATTCTTTCTATGTGTATTTGTCTCGAATCTAAATCAAATAATCATCGAACAAGAAAGATTGTAGCAGACTAAACAGTTGCAAAAATGCTGTGCTCTTCCGGGCAAATCGGAACGTCGAGTTTTTGTTCTACCCTCCACCTCGTTTGTCAGTTATGTGGTTTTATTGAAATCAAATCATAACGCGAAAGAAACAAAGACAATAGAAGTAATGCCAAAGCAAATCAAAACGTCAAAAAAACGTACTGAATTTGTTTACTGGCTATCATAATCCAACTGATCTTTTTATAGTATGGCAGGATCTGCACCAGTGAAAGGTTATTACTTAAAGTGCAATTTACATGCAGAGTAATTAGTTCGTCCGCATGTTTTTTAATTGGTCAATGTATCTGCCATGTTTAAAAATACAACTCCCGATATATAATTACACTTTTTTCTAGGTACAGTGATATAACTGATAATAAACTAATTTAAATCGAATACATCCGATTTAAATCAAATAAATCTGACTTGAATCAAATAAATCTTATTTATTGAAGAAAACAATTAAATCATTATTTTTTCGTACTCGGATTGAAGCTGATAAAGCAGTTTGATCTTTTGGAAACGTGGCCTACGTTCGATGTTCTCGGTGTACATGAAAAACAAAAACAAAAGTTGACGTTTTAATCGCATATGTTATTAAAGTTTACAGGCTAAAATCTTCTTTTTTTTTCGTCGGCCTTATGGAGAAATAGTTTCACTGTTTAAATGACTTAACTGCTCAAAGTGCTTTTATTTTTATTTATTTTTATATTGAACTTTTAACGTAAGTGGTACCGGATATCCCAAGGATGTCAGTACATGCATCCTTCGCTGTCATCAGAATGTGAGTGAAGGTTTAAAGGAGATTTCTCACCCAGGTATCGTATACCTGAACGCGCGTGTCGAACCCAACTGGGTCGGTTCGTTGACGTCGAAGATCGACCGATTTCAGCGACAAACGACGAACACCGTCTCGGGTCAATCTGCATTTTGAAGCTCGAGATGTCATCTCCCGTTCCTCACTAATCTTTCGCGACCTTCGCGTCACTTTCCATGTCCAATAGATCGCAACTTTCACACCGAACACGGGGAGGGAATTTCAGAGATGATGTTGAATGAGAACATTCCGGGATCGAAATTTCCGAATATGCTCATTCGAGGGAAGCAAAGGTTTCTGTGCACGACTACATACTCCGCTTCGCCTTACCACGAACCGTAGAGAACCGTACGAGCCATCGAAGGCCAATCCAGTGGCGTGCGAGAGTCGCGTGACCGCCGGGTGGGGCTTAGCGATGGCGTCGTCACGTGATACGTTCACGCCCCCCGGATTGGCTGGGATGGTTCGTAGCATCCACTACGGTCCAACCAACATAAGGTAAAACTGGGTGTACCTGTAAGCTCCCCTTCCCCCCCTCCCCTTCCCTTTTCACATGGCAGACACGCAGTCCTTCGATGGTGTCTCTGGCACACAGCGTAAAAAAAAAGTATGAACCGGAAAAAAAAAATTGAGTGTATAGTGCACATGTTTCGTGACGCAGAATCCGGATCGGATTCCTGTTGGCAAATAGTTAAAAATAGAAGAGAAGTACAAAGAGCGAAACCTCTCTTTCTACCTATTTCGTCCCAGTTGAATGTTGCGAAGTTTGTTTTCTCGATCGACCTATATCCCCATAACTTAACATCCGTCCAATATCGAAAGGGTTATGGCCGAACCGAAAAATAAAGTTTTGATTTTTTGCATTATAAGTACGTATATCTACTTTCTTTTTCTTTTTTTAGCTGAGATTAATGAGACCGTTTTGATGTTTATGTGCGTTGCTGCTGCTGTTGTGTTTGTGTTGTATTTTTTTTTAGGGGATGGAAAAAGGGGAGCGCCGGGGGGGGGGGGGGGGGGGGGGGGGGAGGGGGGGAGCGTTCATATGAGCTTCTAAGCCACCCTAAATGTGATCGATTTTATGTGTTTTCTAATTTTTCGAGGCATAGGTGACACAGTTTCAACTTGTCACCCGACGTGCCGTTTGGTGACAAGTCGGCGAATGTCATATTCCGTGGGGTTGTTCCCTCTAGGAACCAAGAGGAGTAAACTATAAAAAGGTGTGACGTTGATTGCACTTAAGATTTCATTAACTAATGGGACATGGGTGGCGACATATATCGAGCCGACTTGATTCTTGCGATACATGAGTTATGCCTAGCGAGACATGAATTGTGCTCCCCTTCGCCAACAGCCACGACGTCTCTGTCCGACTCGATGAATTACCGTGTCGTCGCGCGATCCGCGTCACGAACAGGTTTGGAAAATCGAATTTGAAACGACGCCAAGTCGTTTCAAATTGCATGAGTTGCAAAACTAGCTATATAGCATCAAATAGAATAGTCGTAACGTCACCTCACGGTTTTGATAGCGCTTGGTTGAACCGAAAACACGACCTCCTCTCATGCAAGGTTAATTCCTTTCACACACCACAAAAGCCTACGTGAAGGGGAGCTTAAACTTGGTCCGCTCAAGATGGGAGGAAATGTCGATACTTTGTATGTAGGGCAGCAACGCAGCGATAAGGTCAGTGTGCCACGGAAATCGGAACCACCTGTTTGGTGCATCGAAACTATGTCCTCTCCGTGCTCCTCTATACCCACTTCCTGTCATTTAGAGTTTCATTTGTAGGAATCTTGTTTCGTGCAGAAGCAAACTTTTCGGACAGACGTGAAATTTGGTGCAACTTTCTAGGACCGCACCGATGATCTACACGAAGATAGGCAGGCGTGTCCGATCACAACTTGGACTGCCGCTGGGACACATCGTACTGCCCCGAACGAGCCTCAAACAATAAATAAGCTAGCATCAATGAATAAGAAAAAGGCCTCGTAGCTTCTAAACATCATTAGGAACGTTTTTACGCGACAGGAGACGGTCACCCAAACTCTTGACTCGAACCCATGGAACGCAACTTCTCCGCCCCTAGCTGGCCGTTCGACCAGATAAGATTCGGCAAAAAATCCTCCGGTATGCATACTTCTTCATCTCACGATCACTGAGTCCTCAACCTGGGCATATTTGCTCTTGTTTTCGCTCTCACGGCAAGTGGCAGCAAACGCAGACTCTCGTCGGCCTTTCAGAACACAAGCACCTAACAATGCACCCTTTTGAAACACAAAAATCCCAGCCTCTGGAGGGGAACGTACAGTCTTTATAACCGGAGCGAGCAATAGTTCAAGCGCCGGACGACGCTCAAAACTCGGTGGCTCGAACTGTTTGTCGAGAGGTCGGTCGCGAGAGGGCGAGCAAGCAAGCAAGCAACACGTCGTCGTCGGCAACGAGTGCCCAAGCTGACGACCCCGAGACGCAGACGCACGTCCGCGGTGGTCAGCTTGGACGGGGGGTGGCGAAAAGCCGCGAGGAGCGGAATAATACGAGGCGGCTCACCTGGGACGGAGACGAGTAGCCGAACTGGGCGTAGGACATGGCCAGAGCTCGCGTTGCCCCGGCGCCAACGGTCGCGGGGGTGGGGAAGGTGGTCGGGGTGCGCTGGAGACGACCGGCCGGCGTTGCTAGTCCACTAGCCGCCGGCGGCTCGACACATGGGCCGACTCGTGGGTGACAGCTGCCCGCGCACGCACCGCTTTCCGACTTGGCTCACCGTCGCTGGTGCGCGGGACGCGCGTGGTGGCAAAAGTCCGAGCACGCGCAGCGGCGCCGCTACGTCCGACGCACGGTTCCTCTCCCGCTAGCGCAGGGGGCATTAAAATTGCGGCGCCGGGGCCTACGCGGCGAGTCCCCGCGGGAGGGGCTTGGAGGAGCTCCGCCCAGTTCGGCTTGACTGGCAGCAGCCTCCCGACGCGCTCGCTCGCCGTTCCATCGCTCGCTTCGTTCCCCCGCAGCAAAACCCACCCCACCCCCCCACCTCCCTTCCTCCAGGCAGGCGAACAAGTGTTGTGACATCGGCTAAATCAACGCTGGTAATGTGTGCTGCGCCTTACTGTTGTTGTTGTCGTTCCGTTTGGCGCGACACTTTTTTTTTTCTTTTTCTTTTTTTCTTTTGGTGTTTGATTTTCTGCGACAAGGCAGATTACGTGTGTTGCGAAGCCATTTCAATCAGTGAAGCTCGACTGTGAGTGCGCGCGCGCGCGGTGGGGGGAGGGACCTGCGCTCTGACGGACGCGCGCGACGCGCCTGGGGTTTGCGCCGTGGCTCAACTCGCCGCTCCAAAAACCCGCCCCCCCCTCCCCCCCCCCCCCCCCCCCCCCCAACTCTCTTTAATCCAGACGCTGCAGAACTTGCAATTGTTGCCCGGCTGAGGGGCGTCGAGCAGCGAGCACTCGTGGGCCCTCCTAACAAGAAACGAACTTGCCAGACTGATTACGCGGCGAAAATAATCCTGCCTTCGACCAGTTTCGAGGACGTATAGAGCTGGCCTGCTGCGCTTCAAACCGCGCGTCCGCTCCGAACAATGGCAGTCGGTCAAGCGCCCGAGAGGCCATAACGAATCGTGGCCACTCGTGTGATCGAAAATGACCGTTACAGAGCACCCTCGGCCGTAACGGTTTGTTGAACAACGGACGGTTCAGATTTCTGAGCTGATACGGCGTTTGCGATGCAATGCGCGATCTTCAATCTCGGCAGAGGAAAATGAACACGATGTGGGAAATGAAGGGGCGCTTTTTTTGGTTACACTGGGAAGATAGGAACTTTGCTTATTTTGTATGACATGTGCCTGTCAGAAATCTCGTCGGCCGTACATATCGATACGCCTATCAAGCCGTCCAAAATATGAATATACAGTGCATATGGTACCCGACTATTATGCGACTATGTGCGGTGGAATTGCCCGTTTTTAGTTCTATGCTAGGCGTTCGCAAGTACGGCCTCTGCGCGCCGTCACTTTTTTGCCGGTGCGCGTAGATCAGAGGTCTCAAACTCAGTTCAAATCAAATTAAATCAAGCTTATTTCGAGAAACTCTGGCGGGAAAGCCCATGCAGAAAGCTGTTAGAAACAGCTTGACTAGGTATGAAACCCCTTTACATTGGCAGCAGCAACAAATCAAGAACACATTAAAGTTATACAATGCTAAAAAAAGTACTAACGAGTTGAGTTTGGGGGCCAGATAGCCCACACACCGAAGAGTCGAGGACCAACGTAAGATGGAGAAAGGGGTAAAGGAGAAGGGGGGGGGGGGGGAATTAATTATAAAGAAGGAACCTCGTGCCCTCTGATTTTCGTAAACTCGCAGTTTCTCCAGTAACATCTTTACCTTTGATTAGTTTATAGGTCTGCTTTGGGCCCTTACCTGTTATGATAACAAAAGTTAGAATGGTTCTACCCCGCCAACGTACTGGCATTTCTTTAATAGTACAAGAGAACAGTCACACTCCCGTTCCCGTGGCTCATTCACTCGGAAATTAATCAAACTACCAGATCTCGAAAAAAAAAAATTTTTTTATCTGACAGTGCATGCTTTTCTGAAAAACTTAATAGCAGCAAAAAAAAAAAATACTTGTATTTAATTGTGATATTTTCTGAAGGCGAGAATAGGGAGGAATTGCCGTAGAGGTGACTAACATGTCGAAAATCTGGAAAGCCAAAAATTAAACTGAACATGAGGCAAATAAAAACTCTAAGGGCAGAGCTATCTTAATCGACGACAAGAGATGATTATGGCGTATATATGTCATTTCTAGCTCTCGAGAACTGGCGCTCGCACCCGGTTGCTTACGGGCCATGTCCCCTGCATGCAGCGAGTGGCGGGCCGCATGCGGCCCGCGGGCTGTATGTTTGAGACCCCTAGCGTGATCGACTTATAGTCAAGTCTTACTAGAAGAACGCCCTCGGTTTCCAGGTGCCCAAACAAAAAGCGTTTTTCATCCACGGCGTTGCTCGCAAACGTTCATGGTTAATCTTCACAATCATACAAAAATTGTAAATGAAGAAACCGACAGCCTCGCGTTGTGCCGCATACCTTCCACGTCTCTGTGGTGTCCCGTCGCAAATCTATAATAACGGAGAGCGGAAGATTCGACTTCATTTCGTCAGTCACACGATTTAGCGGGGGCCGCACCACAACACCAACACCGCATTTCAACGTGCCTTTTCTTCCGGTGAAACCCATCGGAAGCTTATATGACCTCATTCGAAGGAGTAGCTCTCATTAATATCCCCTCGATCCAACCATCACTGCCAACGTCGGCGGTGCACGCGCGGTTTCCCATAAACGTCGCTGTCGTCGATGACTTGTTCGTCGCGATAAATCTCTGACGCCGCTGTAGGACACTCCCGTTGACGTCGGCCTTTGTATAGACGAAACGCAGGGAGAGACGTTCAGTGTCCGGGGACCGGAACTTCCGGACACAGCGAGTCATTTGTCCTTCCTCGCAAGACTATGGAGGTTGCTGACCCGCCATGGAGACGTGTCCCGAGAGTTTTCGCAACTCCAACGGCTTGCGTCTAATCCCTCTTCCTCTGTTTCACATTTCGGCCGCGAGGCCGAGCCAGTTTTTGCTATACATGCTCGGATAGTCGGAAGCTCCTCGCTTCTCTCCTTCGAGCATTTTCCGCTGGGTGGCGTCGCCTCCTCTGGAGTTGGGAAGAAAGAATATGCCTGGATATGACACCGTTGATTCGCGACAAGAATAGAGTTTTTGTAGACGGTTCCGATACCTCCGATAACGATACCCGATGATGATACGACGCATGCGCAAGAGCGTCGGCGGAATATTGGGTATCGTTATCGGAGGTATTGGAACGATCCGATAAAACTCCCTACCATAAAGGCCCATTGACACATTACCGTTTTCTTGCGTTCCGTTAAGTTACAGGAAGATACGTCTCCTTACGTCGAGTTACGACCGCGCGTCAGCGGGACATACGTGCTTCGTGTGAAGTATGCCAACCAAATTAAGGCTTTGCACGCGGCATAGGGGCGAAGCACGGATGTCTTCGTGAGTCGCATTCAAAGTATAACGACACTGTTAGCGCGAACACCACATCTGGGCTTTTCGAATTTTTCTCAGACATGCCACCGATGAACATATTTTACCGCTTAGGTTGTGCCCCAAATAAGCATGTTTCAACGACACTCGTAGTAGTGGTTGATGACAGCCTTTCAATTTTAAGAAAAAATCTGAAGAAAAAAAATCGCTTGTTTGCGTTAACGGTGTCGCGCAGTGTGCAAGAAAACGTAAGCAAAGAGCCCTTTCTGAATTAGCCTCAAAGCTCTAGCCTTCACTCAAAAAAAAAAAAAAAACTTGGATCAACAAGAAGAAAAAAAATTAAAACTGTGGTATCCGTGCTTGGAACCGAACTTCCCAGGGACTGCAGTGTCGGCCCAAAGGGTATTGAGCTTTCCCGCTTACCCTCGTCCTCCGCATACATGGGTCATATATCCAGTATGGGGGGACGAAATATAGCAAGCCGTTACAACCTGGAACGAGGGAAAATATAGATAAGAGGTTAAGCAAGAGGGATTGACAGTCGTGATAAAAACCGTAACACCTCCCCAGGTGCCTAGCACGGGAAATATGATGGTTGCCTCTTTACCGCAAGTTTAACGATTTAAGGTGACGACTGCAGGAAGGAGTGTATATATATATATATGGGCGGTTTCATTTGGATTAAGGCAACCAGGTGCAGCCGTATTTTTTATTTTGCTTCAAATTTTTATATTTTGTGGCGCATGTTCCAAGAAGAACAATGCTTTTTTTATTGTAATGTCCTGACATGATTAGTGTCTGAGAAAAAAAATCTCAAAGGAGCGGGAAAGAACGACGAGGTTTTGACGATTGTCGCGTGTGGCGTTTTTGAATCACTCTCAATCTCAAAGTATTCAAAAGAGAGCGTCTATATTTTTTATTGTGATATATTATATGCAAGTAGGTAAAACTACATTATAACTACTATTTATTATTCGTCGCTCCAATCTTTGTAAAAATCCCCAAACATGCCTCCATGAACAACTATAAACTAAATTGCGGATCTTTTTTTTTTTTTTAGGGGGGGGGGGGGGGTCGACTATGTTTAGTATTGCTTTTAAAATAATACCACATGTAGAACCTTTTATTGCCTTCCAAATTAAGCAAAGTTTGTGTTTTTATTATGTACGACTACTGAGAAATAAATTATGAAACAGAGAAGGTTTTCACTTTTCATTCAATTTCAGCACGCTGTATAAAAATACACCCCAGGTTATAATTTTTCCTTTTTCTCGCGTCGCGTTCTCTTCACACCCTTCTTTTAGCCAGAATACATTCCGTTAGAGGTAGATGCACTGGTCTTGCGTTTTAAGCCTCTAAACATGCTAAAAAAGAGCAAATGCCGATGGTCGGTTTCGACGATTGTCGTGTGTGGCGTTTTTGAACCTCTCTCAATCTTAAAGTATCCTGAAGAGAGCTTCAAAATTTTTTTTATTGTCATATATATGCTATTCGGTAAAACGTCATTTTAACTACTATTTATTATTCGTCGATCCCATCTTTGTAAAAATCGCCAAACATGCCTCCGCGAACAACTTTTTTTTTTTCGGTGTACTTCCTTACAACACTCCCGTGCATGCGGGAAAGCAAACAACACCCCCCCCCCCTCCCCCCCTCCCGTGCGGAAGAAATGCTCGCGCACGCGCGTGCACCGGGTCTTCTACCGAACATCGACTATAGGGAGTATTCACTGGACGCCATATTTGTGGGTGCTGTTGAGAGCGCATGCTCAGAACGAGCTCACATCAATAGGCTGCTAAAACCGGCAC